AATTCTAGAAGAAATTTACCAGATATCTCATCGTAGCCTGGTGATTTTTTTGGGTTGATGTTAACGGCAATGATGTTTTTTATTTCAGCAATTGTTGTCTTCTTAATTTTAAAATTCATCTGGGTCAAGTTCTTGGGTAATGCATGGTTTGTATCATTTTTAGGATTTGTAAATGTGCTCTTAAAATACTCAGCGAGAACAGTTGCTTTTTCTTGGTTTGTGCGCGCCCAAGTGTTATCTTCTTTTTTAATCGGTGCGCAATGAAGTATGGCGCCATTACTACCCTTTGTAGCTTTCCATAATGAGTAATTTGTAACCTTTGTAGCACTCAATCTTGAGATAAAATTTGATACATTTTTTTGTCTTTCAGCCTCTAATAAAACTTTCAGCTCTTTTGTTAATTTATTCAACTTTGTCTTTATTTGTGGAGCTCTAGATACTTGCCAGATTTTTCTCAACTTTCTTTTTTGTTCTATTTTATGTTTGATATGATTCGGGACAGGTATTACATTTTTGGTTATTATTATTGGTGTAGATGCAGATGCTGCAGATAATAGTAGAGAATTGAAATTGATTATTGCATTATTTATTTCCTCTTCTGTTCTTAGAGCTACATTTATAACTAATTGTTCTGCTATTATCTCGCTATATGTATCTCAACATGTTTTATAATTGTAAGTATTAATGTTCGTATTGTTCATAGTAAGAGTTGCGCTGTAAACTAGTACTATCGGTGAGTGGTCAGAGGACAACTCAAGGCTGGAATGAATGGAAAGGTTACTTACATTTATGTTTTTTGTTATAAAGAAGTCAATCAAATCAGGTTGCTTTCTTGGGTCACTAGGCCAGTATGTTGGTTCACCAGTACTAATAAATTTTGCTTTGTATTCATTCAGTGCGGTGTAGAGATTTTTGCCCTTTGCGTTTGTTAAACGTGAACCCCATAGCATATTTTTTGCGTTGAAGTCCCCTCCGACTACAAATCTTTGACCAAGAGATTTGAGGAAATTTAAGTACGTGTCTTTGGTATTTGAGAACTTAGGAGGACAATAAACAGCAGCCAATTTTAATAGACCATGGGAATCTTCAATCATTACTGTGGTCGCTTGTATTTGTTCTGTACTATGATGTTCTGATTCAGAGCTAACTATTCAGTTTTTTATGAAGATGGCAGTTCCACCGTGTCCTTTTCCGTCGGGATGATTGGTTTGAAATATTGTGTAATTTTTTATTTTAACATAGCTTTTTTCAGTGAGATGCGTTTCTGAGGTTAATAGTATGTCGATCGAATTTGAGTACAGAAAAGTTTTCAATTCGTTGATATGTCTACTTATACCGTTTGCATTCCATGCTACTATTTTTAATTCATTGAACTTACCCATTGATTTTTGTGACCAACGCCGTTAAAATGTTCATCATTCCTGACATTTGTGTTATCAATGTTTTCATCATTTCTTTTAACTCTGCGAGTTCTGGGTTGTAAGAGTTAGATTCAACAGGTGTTTGACGCGTAACTTGGGCATATGATAATGTTTGTGGGATGTTGGCATTTGTGTTTTGAGCAGTTGCATTGTCTGTTGTGTTCAAAGATTGTTGCTGACTTGTTTGGACGGGTGTTACTTTTTCTCTCATGATAGGATATCGTTTAATTTTAAGTGATTTGTACACCTCACATCCCTTGTAGTTAGCTGTGTGCTTTTTCACATAAGGCACAGCTTATGTTTTCAGAATTTCCTTTTGTTGGGCAATTGGCGGTTTTATGATTTCCTGCACATTTAACACAAACCGGTGACTTGGTGTAGAAATTTTTTGTATGTCCATATTTTTGACAGTTAGAACATTGAGGTATGACTTTTTGAGGGCGAGGTGGCTCAAATTGGATTTTGCAGTGAAGTAAATATTTAATTGAGTAAATTTCTTTATTATTCACATTTTGTTTTAATTCTAAAGAGAATAAATTCAATGGCTTCTTAGTTGTAATATGTTTTGGATATTTATGATTTCATGACCGTTTTCATGAAGGCTTTTTTTAATTTCATTTGTATCCACTGAGTAGTGCATGCCACGGAGAAAGACTTTAAGACCTCGTTCTTCCTTCGGTTTATATGTATAGTATTCGGTATTTTTTTCTTTAAGCAGCTTTATTATGCTGGTGTAATAAGATGAGTCAAATGGTTGCAGTTTGACTTCATTATTTGGTAATACTTTTATTTCATATTTGCAATTCGGTATTGAGTCAATTGCCTTTATTAAAATGTCTAGTCTTTCTACTTTTTGTATAAGAGCGGTGGTGGTTTGGTTTTTTTAATTTGTTTTGTTGCATCATTTTCGTTGCTGTCGCTCTTTTCACTATTCACTTCGCCGTTATCATTTTCGTCCGATAAGCATGCGAACCTGTTTGCTGGTTTGACAAGCCAATAGTTCGTCAGCGTTTGCTGATTAGACGATTGCTCTTTTTACTTTTGTTTCTTGATCCTCTGCTTTTCTTTTTGATTATTAGGAGATGATCTATTTCTTTTTGTTGAAAGTGGAGTATTTAGAGTGGTACTCTGCAATTTTTGCAAAGGCGGTGAAATTGTTGACATTATTGGTTCATGCATTGATGATGTTGTTGTTATTATGCTAGTTGATAAAGAGGTGGCAATTGAGTTTGTTGTATTACTTGTAGGTAGAGTGTATACAATGTTTTCTACAAATGTTTTTACGGGAATTTGGTTCGAACTTACAGGAACATTTACCGAAGTTGTAAAGGAATTACGTCTTACAGGTAGTGGTCTTTCATCCAAGACTTTTTGTGGCGACATATCTTTATATGTTTTTGTGTTTTTTAATAAAGAATTTGTTAAGTTGTTGGTTAACTTAATTTTATTAGCTGTGGCAATTTCACTAGCTATTTTTGCTATATTAGTTTCGTGTACAGAATTTGTTTTAAGTTTCTTATTTGTTTTAACGTCTTCTGTGCTAAGCATAATATAGCCATTTAAGCCATTTTCACTTATATGAGAGTGCCGACGTACAACTCTTTCATATTCGCTCATATATGGTATTTGGTTTACAATTTATTTACACTTTGCTAAACGGTTTAAGGTGACGAAAATGGTTGATGATTTTGTCCTCACTGAGAACAATTTATTGTACCTGTTGGTGTTGTTCTTGTGACTGCTGCAGTTGTAGCTGCTGTTGAACCTGTTGTTATAGCTGCTATTGAACCTGTTGTTGTGGCTGTTGTTGAAGCTGTTGTTGATGAAGTTGTTGCTGCAATTGTTGTTTAAGTTCATTTATCGTCTCTTCCTGTTTTTTAATCACAGTGGTAATTTCTGGATCCATTATTTTTTGACTTTTATCGAAGCTTTTTTGTCTGTTTATCATAAAAAGAGATCTGCACTTTATATATATATACATATTATTTTTATGCACTTAATTCGTCAGGTTTATTTTATTTTGTCTTTGGACAAAATTCCGATTCGACTACGCCAATTATATTTAATTAAAATTCACAGAACTTAAATTTATGCTTGCTTTATTAAATGAATTTTAAGACTAACTTATATCTAACATCTTTGCTTATATTTATAGTGAGGATTGGAAGTATCGAATCCTGATAAGACAATTCGTTGTTTAATTAGGCCGAACAACGATAATAATATTTTTCGTTACAATGTTTAGTTGAAGATAGTAGAATATAATAAAGTATAATATAGATCTTTCGTTGTTTGATAAGGTCGAACAACGATAACAAAATGTTTAGAAGGATGCAATGTAGATGTGTCGTTGTTTGATTAGGTTAAACAACTATGATAAAATATTTACCATAGCGATAAGATAAGAGAATGCAACTCGCGTGATTATGTCATAGAGGTGAGCTTATGTCTCCTGAATATGTAAATTGTATGCTCCCAATCACACAAGATCACTGTTGTAAAGGTAACGATGGTTCTGCGCTTAGTTTTGGTTTATGTGTTGAGAAGACTCCTGGCAAGACCGCGTGGCGTTCTCCTTTCATCAACGATGGATGCTCTGTGCTAAGAGATATAATAATTTGGCTGAATGAGCCAGGTTAAAGAAAAAAATGATAATAATTTAATAATTTGACCGAATGGGCCAGATCTATACTACTTTGCCTAAATGAGCCAGGTTTTGGTGTAATGAACCAGTAGGCTGGATAAGCCAGCGTACTTGTCATTTTAAAAGTGAAATTCCAAGTCCTCGATCATATCAAATACGCGTTCATAAAGTGATTCAACGTTTCTTCAGTTTGTAGATTATAAAGTGTACTGTAAAGAACCTTTTATTGGGTTCGTTTAGAGCTGGGATAAACTCAGTCTCGTCCACCGTCCTCACAAGAAATTTGTTTATTGAGATCCTGTTATTTCAGTTTGCTTTTAATATTCGAACAATGCTATCCAATAAAATTTTTCTTTCAAACTTTATATTTTATAATAATAAAATTCAAACTGTAACGACCTTTTCCCGGCCCTATCTATAGCTGGGGTATACTCAGCGAGTATACCAGGGTTCGTTATAAGAAAATTTATCTAAGTAAAATAATAAAGACACTTCTGTTTAAAGTAGCGTTTATTATTTAACAAAAAAAAAGAAAATATAATCAAGTTGTGGAAAGCGATGTTGAAAATGTTGCTAATGATGTAGAATGTTGTAATAATGTTGTAGACGGTGTAGCATGTTGTAAAATGTTGTATGGTGTTATAAATGTTGTAACGATGTTGTAAACGGTGTAGGATGTTGTGAAATGTTGTATGATGTCATAAACGTTGTCACGATGTTGTAAACGGTGTAGAGTGTTGTGAAATGTCATATGACGATTGCTTACAGTGGTGCGCAAGTTGCTAACCTTGAAGTGAAAGAAATTCCAAAATAGAAAGATTTGGCAATTCCGCTGCCCTTTTATTTGAAATTCTTTCCATTACATACAAAAACAATAATTATTTTCAAATTAACAAAGTCCCGTAAATTTGTCAAAACAAATTTCTTATTGTTGTACGCATTGCAATCAAATTCAGCAAAAATAACTGCATCACATGAAAAATGCGTGCACAATATTTTTCTTAAATTTGTTATGCAGACAAACAAGAGAAATAGTTACAACAAATTTAACTAACTTTTATTAGCGGCAAAAAAAACTAATCAAAACATATTTTACTTCACAGGGTCATTCGTTTATAAAAAATGTTTGTCTTTGATATGTAATTTGCAGGGTCAAAAATAGGTGTTAGTGCAGAAAAATTTTATTGAATATAGAAATATGTTTTATTAAGTGGATTTAAAACTCATATTTGACTATTCATTTAATTTGTGGGGTTAAATTTTAGAATAAAATTTGGGCCTTACACTCCCTCCCTACTTCCCCGAAAGTAAAAGCGCGACCACTACTGTTCCCGGGAAACTGAACCGTGCCGGGACATACTACCTGTTAGCTTGACTTCTGTAACGTTGCTTCGGACTTTTGAATACTTTATAAAATTCGTCTTGGGCCGTGGTGACAATCTGATCGTTCTCCGGTTGGGTTATACAACGAATTTTCGTTTGCCGTTGCTGGTTTTCTGTGCTGACTTTGTCATCTGTTTCGAGACAACGTTCCTTAATTTGGTATGGCAATTATTCCTGTCGGTCTTGTTGTGTTTCAATAAATTTTATTTGCTGTTGTACTATTTGCCCTTGTGTCCCTTGTAGTTGTTGTAACTTTTGTATTTTGATAGGTCTCGGATCTTGCTGTGTTTTCCCTTTGTTAGGTCTCGGGTCTTGCCGTATTTTCACTTCGATAGGTATCGGATCTTGTTGTTGTACGACGTGTTCTAGCGTGTCTTGTGGTTGCTGTGCGTCTTGACTAGGCGTTGTATTGATAGGACTTGAGTCTTGGTATTGTTGTAACAGCGGTACTTTAGTAGATTTCGGTTCTTGTTGTATTTTCACTTTGATAGGTCTCGGATCTTGCTGTATTTTCTCTCTGACAGGCCTTGGATCTCGCTGAATTTTTACTTTGATAGGTCTCGGATCTTGTTGTTGTACAACGTGTTCTAGTGTATCTTGTAATTGCTGTGCGTCTTGACTAGGCGTTGTACTGATAGGACTTGAGTCTTGGTATTGTTGTAACAGCGGTACTTTGGTAGGTCTTGGATCTTGTTGTTGTACGCCGTGTTCTAGCGTATCTTGTAGTTGGTGCTGCTGCCGTTGTCGATTAACTTGCTGCTATTGCTGTTGATTAGTCTGCTGTTGTTGCTGTCGTTGGTGCTTAACTTGCTGCTTTTGCTGTTGATTAGTCTGCTGTTGTTGCTGTCGTTGTTGCTTAACTTGCTGCTGTTGCTGTTGATTAGTCTGCTGTTGTTGCTGTCGTTGTTGTTTAACTTGCTGCTGTTGCCGTTGATTAGTCTGCTGTTGTGGCTGTCGTTGTTGATTAACTTGCTGCTGTTGCTGTTGATTAGTCTGCTGTTGTGACTGTCGTTGTTGCTTAACTTGCTGCTGTTGCTGTTGATTAGTCTGCTGTTGTTGCTGTCGTTGTTGCTTAACTTGCTGCTGTTGCTGTTGATTAGTCTGCTGTTGTTTGGTAATCGGTTTTGGTTTTGTTTTTGGAAAGTGTTTCATGGCTGTTTGCACGGGCTCTTGTCGTTGTTGGT